CCGGCAGCTGCGGCCAGGCCCCCGCTCACCTCCCTCCCCTGCGCAGATCCGCGTCAACAGCAGCCGGATGATCCGAGTCACCCAGGTGGGCAGCGAGGAGGAGCTGGAGCAGTTCAACGTGTGGAACGTCGTCTTCTCCTTCCTGAAGGAGAAGCTGAACGACACCAGCATCGATGTGGATCTCTACAGCAACAAGACCTGCCTGAAGGTTGAGCTGCTGGAGGCCGGCACCACGTACTGCGTCGTCCTCTTCCGGCGTACGTGTCCTCGCGGCCGGGGCTCCAGGGTGGGAGGTGGGTCTGGCTGCACCGGCACTCCCGAGGGAGAACGGGGACATGGCCAGGCGAGCTCGTGGTCTGAGGGCCAGCAGGGCCGGTCCTTCCTCGGGAAGGAAAATGGGCCTGCGGAGGGAAGCGTGTCTTCGTCCGTGGGATGTGAAGTGGGGGAATTTGGGGCACTTGTCGGGGGTTCGCCTGGGGCGCTGCCCTTCCCGCGCAGCAGCCTGCAGCTCGACCCGCAGCGCACCGTGCCAGGGTTCCTCTCCACCTGGACTCGCTCTCTTTCCAGGCTTTGACCCAAAGCTGTTCCTGGTTTTCTTCCTGGGCCTGTTGTTGTTCTTCTGTGGGGACATGCTGAGCAGGTGAGCCGCCTCCTCTGCCCCCCGAGCTGGGGGCTGGGCTGGGCGGCCAGCGCCTGGCTGGCTCTACAGGCTCCCGGGGGTTGCTCCCAGCCGCGTGTTTGTGCACGGGCGTCCGTGGGCTGTAAAACCCCTTGTGCACGTGTGTGGTCTCTGCAGGAGCCAACTTTTCTACTACTCGGCCGGGATTAGTTTTGGCTTGCTGGCCTCGCTGCTCATCCTCGTCTACATGGTGTCCAAGATCATGCCCAAGGTGAGCGTCAGGCTGTCTGGGGGCGCGAGGTCTCGCAGCAGTATCCCTGTCTACACCTGTACGGTCGTTGTGGTGAGAGTGCTGGCGTGCGTGGCCTTGCGTGTTGGGTTGTGTGTCTGGCTTTGCACAGAGCAAGGCTTGGTAGCCGTGGGGAGTTAGCAGTGGTGGCCCACTGCCTGGCCTGAGCCTCCTGTCTCCTCTCCTAGAAAAGTCCTGTTTACTTCCTGCTGGTAGGAGGCTGGTCCTTCTCGCTCTACCTGCTTCAGCTGATCTTCAAGAACCTACAGGAGATCTGCAAGTCCTACTGGCAGTACCTCCTAGGTAGGCACAGGCCCTTTGGACCCCCGGCTCACCAGTCTGCGTCTCTCCTGCTGGAGCTGCGACGTGTCGGTGGGAAATGCTGAGGCTTCCTGCCCACCTCGCTGCTGCAGACGCGGTGCTCGTGCTCCTCAGAGAGCCGGGCTCCGGTGTCGGGTTTAACTGCGGCCCTGGCCCATGCTGCTCAGCTGGCTCCTGCCGCCCAGGCTGGGCCCGCCGGTTCGGCCTGCCCCATCCCTCTGCTCTCCCGCTGGCTGCCTGCTGCTCGTGGGCTTCGTGAGCTTCGGCGTGTGCTACAGGTACGGCCCGCTGGAGAACGAGCGCAGCATCAACCTCCTCTCCTGGGCCCTGCAGCTCCTGGGGCTCTTGCTGATGTACTCAGGCATCCAGATCCATCCCATCGCCTTGGCCTTGGTGGTCATCGCCGTCTGCACCAAGAACCTGGACTACCCCATGCAGTGGGCCTTCGCTGCGTACAGGTGAGGGCTGCAAGCACCTCGGCTCGCTCCTGATTCCCGGCCGTTGTCAGGCCTTGACGAGCTGCGTCTGTGTCGCAGAACCAGGACGTTCTCGCTGGGGTTTGGGGCTGGGGTGGGTGTACT